TCTGTATATCAGTCAAGTAATTCAGGCTTTCTGTTCTACACTGCACTTTCAAGACTGCAGAAAAAAACCCACTTATCCCACAGTCCAACCCACAATGCTAAGAATAAAGATGAAGCAGGAGGATCATACGTTAATTTCCTATTTTTCTATTTAACCTCTTTTTAGGACTTTGTCAGTCAACACCAGCATCACACAGAATCTTCCTTGGTTTTTAAACTATGCTTTAAATTTTCATTATTCATTCCTAAATTACTAGTATATCTGAGACCCCTGATAATCTAATTCTCCTGGTACTCAGACTCAACGTTGTATGAAAAGTCCTAGACTTGTCACCAGACTAACAAATCAATTTTCTTCCTCCTTCAGTATATGCAATGACCTGCACAGTAAGATAAATTTAAAAAAATCAACGGGAAATCAAATAAGATGTCATATCTTACCCTAGAAGAACATCCAGCAACATTCTCCTAGTACACAAATAACACAAAGAAGTTGTTACGCAAACCCACATTTGGCAGGACTGGGAATGGAGCCCACATTGCTACTGCAACAGTCATCCACGCAGCAACCCTATTGCTCAAAATAACCAAGTCAGATACATACGCTTAGCCTTCCTATTTGTACCTAGCGCTTTGGTGCTACCAGATCATACCTCTTGTCAATCCCAGGAACAAAACTTGGGATTTATGGGAAACACTTCATTGCTATCCAATACAGGTGGGGGGGTAGTGAAGGCAAGCAAGGTTGATTGTTTCTCTGGTTTGGTTTTGTTTTCCCTTCTTCCTAAAATAGTAGCACAAGTGAGCTTTTATTTTAGTTTTTGGTTACTTACTACAGAAAGGAGATGTTAAATTAAGAGCTGTGCTGGATGGCCAACAGTCCAGAATAGAAATCATAACAGATAACCCTGACTGCTACAGTCCTTGGTACAGTAAGTGGAATTTAATTTTTTCACTTTATGTTGGAAGAAACCCCATCAATTCACACATAAACCAGCTTTAAAATGTTTCATAGTTTAAATATATCTGAATGTCACAAAGCACAATAATAAGTAAGACACAGGTGTTTCATGTTTAAGCCACTTACCACATTATAACAGTATCACTACTTTAAACAAGAGCAGTGAGCACTTTTGAACATTGGGACAAATCTGTGTGATTTTAGGATTCCTCCAAAATGAGTTCTTGTTTGGCTTTAGAATGAGAAGAGCAAGGGGCACACTGACACCAGCTCCAGAGAGTATCAGATGTTTATCCCCTTGGCTAAGATCAAGTGCAATCAGGTTATAAAAACTGTGTATTGGGTTACGTGGAGTATCACTTCTCATAGCAAGAAATATTATCCTAAACATCTAGGACAAATTGTTCTGATTTTCAACAATCATTTCAATAGTCAGATCTGCAACCTTTAAATCATTTCTGATGGTGAGCTGGTATTCCCTCTACAGAATTATATTCTTAACAAATAACTGAGATTAAATATTCTATTTTCATGATATTTTAAACTGAATATACATCATAATTACAAACAGAAATGGCAGTCTGCAGCAGTAATAGGCCTCCAAATCCTAAAAAACAAACAAATCCTGATTTATAAAAGGCAGAAATAATTTAGTTAGCTAAAACTAACTGCTGAAAAGTACATGAAATTCAAACCAGCCATACTAATCTAATCAGAAAATCAGGAAATGTTGAGGATCCCCATTAACTGATAAAGAAATATTAAATATGTCAGTTATCACACGAAATTTTCCTTCCTGTCAAGTCTCAAAAGACCAGGATGGTACCAAGAAATAATAACATTTTTTTAAAACATATATACACACACACAGACACACAGAGAGAACACAAGAGCCACGCATGTAACAAAAATTGTATCAGGCTTGACATATGTGATGTGTGTGATTTAAGCCTGATTCATGAAACAAGCAGCTAGTTTCTCAAGATTTTTTGGGAAGGGCAGCAAGAAACAACCCTTTCCTCTCCATTTCTTCCATTAATTGGAGCCTCAAGAGAGCTCACCTTTCAAACAATTGAATAAAAAAAATTACAATAAAAAAAAGCTGCACACTTCCAGCTTGCAGAGAAGATAAGCCTTCTTGAACCACACTTCAAGCAGCTTGTGATATATTCAGTTTGCTCTTTCTTCACAAAATTACAACTGCAGAGTGGAATACAATACACACTTTCTAAATCTAGACCGGGCCTGCGACTCAAGGCTGGTGTGGCATGAACAGAGAACAATCTTCTTCCTGAAAAAGCCCTTTTGCTATCAGTACATCATCTTACAGTTGCACACAGCAACTCATGTCATGAAAGGCCATGCATGTCAGAATCTTTCTAAATATAACACTATGGTAGAAGACATCATCTGTTCTATGAATAATGCTCTAATAGAGCCCAACCTGGGTGCAAGCTTTAGATATTACCATAACATCAGTTACCACAGCCCAGCTTTGAGAAGACAAATACACACACTCAACTAACTTAGCTTTAAAAGGGTATTAAGACAATCACAACTGATGTTAAAGATTAACATACCCCAAAACTAAAAACGTAAATGAAGCTGGATCATAACAGAAGGGAAAAACACACCCACATTTCATCAAGACACTTTTGCTAGATGAATGTCACTGTCACAATGAAGACCTACAGCAGCTCTGTCTTCAGTTCACTTCTGGGCAAAATTAATTTGCAGAACCCTGCTAGGTCTCCAGTTACAGAGTCCAATCCATGCTAGAGGAAAGGAGGAAGGAAGGAATCCCAACTATCAGAATACAAACTGCAAAATAATTAGTTGCTCTTGAAAGGGGGAAATTGCTCTGCAGAGGCATTGGAAGGAATGACTCTGGAATTCAAACAACTGTACCGAAGCACTTGGATAGTGAAGTGGAAAAAAATCCAACATATACACTGGTCTAATACAATCCACAATGGTCAAAACAGTTTAGCACGATCATTCTCTTTATTAGGACATATACATAACTACTTCATTTTCTTCACTTTTTCCCTCCGGTCCACACCAATTTATAACACATAACTAAGGGGACAACTTTGGATCTAGACTACATAGGGATATATTATCTCCAGCCAAGTACACACAGCAAACGAAAAACCCAAGGAAAAGTACAAAACACACATACGAACACCAAGAAAAATCCACAAGGCAGTTTACTTCATTTCTACCAAACAATGGGAGAATTTATATGCTCGTTTAGTCTCAACAGTGTTTTAAGGGATATGTGTGAATGTAATACTAAATACTGTAGCAGAACTAGGAACGCCTTGGTAGGAAGAAGTAGTCATGTGTTGTAAGCATCTGATGATGCTGAATGAAGTGGCTGTGAAAAAAATGTATTTGTTTGGGATAGATTCTAAGCACACCTTACGTATTACTAGTCTAAGATGCACACAGATTCTGTTAAAGGGAGATTTATCCACAGAAAGGAATAATAATAAAGAGTAAAATGTAAAAACCTCCAGTTTTTTAATATTCTACCTACAATATTTTTCTTTGCTGTAACTACCTGGCAGTTTGAAGTAACCTCTTCAAAGACATCAAACAATTGCATGTTTTCCTATTGAAGCATATCTGCTATTTATGGGCAACTCTTTGACAAGACAGAACAAAACCGAAAACCAAACCACTACCATGTACATACTAAAATCTAGCAGAGATTTTGTAATAGATCATCAAAAAAGCAGGAAGATACTAACAAAACTTTGTTTACAGGCACTATAGCTATGAATGCTAAACCTGACTTCCACATGGAGGAATACAAGTCAATGCAAACTAATCAGCTTTCCACCCCACCCCCCCCAAAAGGCAATGTGACCAGAGTGTACATGCCACGAGACTGGAAGGATACACAGCCCATGCTCTCATAACTAAACAAAAGAATAAGTCTTCTGATATTACATAATCCATCATACAATCTTGCTTAAGAACATGCACAACTACTGAAAACATCCAACCTTATCAAACAAAACCTTAGATTTGACAGCAAATTTACTTATACAGGGTCCTACTCAAGCTCTTCAAGACAATGGGAGGGCTCCCTTATACTTTAGCTGGCATTGGTCAGATATAAATTCTGCAGAATGCTTTTAAAAGTTAAAATAGACATAGCAAACTAAGCGTTTGCTGTCGGTTTACATACCTCATGAAGAAAGTGTAAATAATTATCACGGTCTTACACTGCCTAGTATGTAGCCTCTAGATGTTAGTCTTTGCTTTTTAGCATCGCCCTTGTTCTGATGCATTTCGAGAAGAAACAGCTACATACATACCCATAGTGTTAAGCCCTATGATGGTTTATGATGACCTGATTTAATAATCAAAGTAATTGATTATTAAAGAGATTATGCTATATTATCTTGCAAAGTATCAAATGAGAGCATTAGAATTTTAATAGAAAGTAAATACAGTAACTGAAAGCTGTTCAAATCTTGAATGTCACCCAATGGAACAAACTCAATCGCATTTCAGTACAATGTTTAAGTATGGAGTGTCTGCACCGCAAATAGGACATATGAACACAATTTTTCATTTTTACTTATTAATGTAATAATTAGGCTTCCCTTTTAATAGTGGACTTTAAAACCTACCTACTGAAACCCCAGACTACTTTCTTATAATTGTCTAATGTATACTATATGCTGTATTCAATTTAAAAAGAATCAAAGTCTACATAGCATCACACTTAACCAGTCTAGCTTTCTAAAAAGCCTGATGCAACTGTATAAACAAACTTTTTAGTTACTCAAGCACTGCAGAACTAACATTTGAAAGGAATATAGAATTAGGTCTTTACTATCAACAAATCTACAAAGCTATACTACTCCTTCCCAGTATTAAGTGTATGTATAGGCTTGACTTTACCTATTACATAAAAGTCATAAAATTTACAGCTCATGAATTAACAAAGTTTAAGTGATCAGTACAGCAAAAAGCTATATCAAAACTGAAATGTATGCAAAGCTAGTTATGTTTGTTTTTACCTGAAAATTAACATCTTCTTTCTTAAATATCAGTGCTCGAACTTCATCAGGATCTCCATTAAATATAGCTTGAACCAATGGTGGCTGCAATGAAAAAAAAACAACCACATCTTAGAATGTAATTCCATTTTAGTTTTTAGTGATACACTTTTTTTTTTTTTTTTTTTTTTTTTTGACACATAACACAAACAAGGCAATGACAAAATAAAACATCCCAGGCAGTGAAATAAAAAAACGAGCAACAGTATTTAGAATTGAAGAAATTCCGAGTTTTAAAAACCTCAAGTACATGAACGTACTTTAAGTCAATGAAATATTTTTAAAAAGAGCCCAGAAGACTAGTTTATAACAGCTGAAGAGAGAACTCCTCATAATAAAATCAAGGCTGTTGTTACATGCTGCAAATTCTATACAATAAGCAGACAAACTCCTTTTAGATTAGCAAGTGACTAAAGTTACTAGCAAAGTGCATCCCATAAGTATGGTAACAAATTCACATTCACACACATCTATTACTAAAAATAGTAGGATTTCTTCGTAAGTAAGAAAAGCTGCTAAGGTATGCTATCAAGATTTAAGTCAGTCACTTGACAAAATAGAATAATTTAAAGCACTAAAAGCACAGTCCCCAGTGTTGAATCATCTCCAGAAAGTGGTAACTTCAACCTAACAGTTACATCAAGATTATGACTTACGCTGTTTTTTATTTTAGCTTAGAATTGCTCTTTCCTGAAGTATACTATAAACTCTATCACTTCTCAAAATGAACACAGCATATTATTGTAATACAATGATTACATCAGTTTCCAAAGTGGTACTGCATAAATGTACCATTGAGGAATGAGGAGTGCAGCAGGGGAAAAGGCATTTACTTCAAACACAGTTTACCAAGCCCTCTAAAAATCCTCTGCCATTACACAAGTTGAGATCTGTTATTGCTGCACCATAAACAAAGTTCCATGAAAAAGAATAAGCCCATGCAAATATTAATTCTACAGCTAGGTTTCAGCTTCTCCTCTCTTCAGGACAGTTGTTTTTACCACCCTGTCCTGTTTCAACATATACATATTTATGTTAATCTTAGGAAAATTACTATATTGGTATTTGTGACTGTTACAAGCAGGAAATATGCCAACAAACAACATGCCTTACCAGCACATTTCCAGAGGGCGATGGACGTAAAGATACATTTTCCTGAGGTAATTTGGTCATAAATGTGGGAGAATCATCTTCCACCTCCTCCAAAACAACAATACAGACTCGACTCATTCGATCGTTTGAGGAAGCAAAAGTAAGTAAAAAACCACCAGCAACAGTATTTTTGGAACCTGACCACAGGTAACACAACAGGGACCACAGAGGAAATACTTTCACCTGTTTCACATGCCCTCAAAAACTTGTGAGTGCTACCACTGGAGCATTAGCATTTGAAAAAAGGACATTCCAATCCCCCCTTACACTTCATTTTTCAGATGTAAACACCCTGAGATGTTCAAGACAACGCTGAAAAAAAGTTGTTCTTTTTAAAATAAAATTTCCCTAGGCATTGAAACCACAATAATAAAACTGTGGAACAGCTGATAAAAATATCCCAAGATCTAATTCCATTCAGACAGCACTCGCTGTCGCACACAGCTGTCCTTTCACAAGCAAATTTGTCTTTGTTAATGTCACAACTTCCACAGCGTCCTTCTATCCCCACAGTAAAATCATTGTTGCAGAAGACACGACACCATCCTATTCAGGACAGAACAAGGAACAATTGCCCTGAGAGAGATGGCCGCAGCTATACCCACTCCTGCAAGGTCAGTTTTAAATCAGTCGTCGCAGGCTTTCTGGTGACTGAAAATAAACGCGCCTTCTGATCATCCTGTCATTCTACAGCTTCCTTTCTCAATGTCAAACAGTCCAGCCAGAAAAATGCATCTCGTTTCCAGCAGTTTTTCAGGACCTGCTTAAAGGAAAATAAGTCTTTCCCATGCAAGAAAAATATCTGCAACATACAGCACGGCTGCAGTACATTTACATGCGGTGAGTCAGACCACAGGGACAATGAAATCCTTGAATAATATTGCCGGTTGAATCCAGCCTCCCCAAACGACAGCAACGCAGTGTTACTCCATCAGGGACACAAGCAATGCAGTGTTCATTTTTCCTTCACCGGGCAGTAGCTGTGGCTTCTCCATCAGGGAAGCAGAAATACGTTAGGCAGAAATACTGCTGAGGAAGAATGCTTCAGCAAAACAAGCTAGCTACTGCACACAAAAGCTCAAATTACTGCCTTGGACTTCTTCTGCTAAAGCAGTTCATCACTCAAGTGTTTCTTTTGATCACCATGTGAATGCAGTTCCCATGATAGTCTTCATTCAGATTGAGGGGGAGAGAAAAAAAAAAAAAAAAAAGGAAAAAAAATATCAGACTCCGTACATCTTCTCTGAGCCAACTTCTTTATCCGAACATCTGTCACTGTGCCAACCTGGTTCTCCTCTTCAGTTAGAGCTTCTGCTTATCAGTTTCTTTCCTTGACAAATTAAATTACACAATCAGCAGATAGCCTTGCAAGGCTTAAAAAAAGCCTGGATGTCCGAGCCGGTCACTAAAAGCCCGTAGGAGCAGAGCACAAACCACCGCCACGGCACTATTCACACTGAGCAGCAGCCTGGCGAGAAGCGACTGCAGCCTGGCAGGATGAATCGCCTAGTAATGCTCACATGTCACACTTACCAGAGAACCCAGCCACTGCTTTCAGTGCAACTTCCTCTGGCACCAAAAAAAAGGCGCTCTTTTTTTTTTTTTTTTTTTTGGGGGGGGGTCAGTACATGTTATAT